AGACGTGGTATTGGCAATCCTAATTTTGGTTTAATTCGATCATATTAGTTCTCTGTTCTGGTGTTGGCAATCCTAGTTATGGTTTTATTCGATCATGTTGGTCCTCCTCTGATCTGGTGTTGGCAATCCCATATTTGGTTTAATTCGATCATGTTAGTTCTCTATTCCGGTGTTGATAATCCTAATTTTGGTTTAATTCGGAAAACCTGTACCGAACGAAACCAACCAAATAACCAACCCAGTATGGTAATGACAGAGGTTGTCATCTACCAATTCATCTATTCACAAGTTTTTTTAATACAGTCAAGTGTCTGAATAATTTGTATGACAGATACATTGAATAAGGTTTGTGGTAGTAAGGGATGGTCCGTTGGTGCATTGATAACACAATCGCTTTTCACCTGGCCGTTCTGGGTTCGATTCCCGCATTCTGATATCCCACAGTTACTGTTACTACCCTGAAATCTTGCTCTTTCTGTGAGAGCAGTATGATATGAGTATTTTCTTAAATCATCAATTCTCCTTAATGTGTCACATTTTGGTGATAAATTCAAGAAACTCAGTGAAATAATAGTCGACCGTTATAACGGTGTAGGTATAAAGTTAGAATCGAACACGCTATTAGACCGAAACAGTTGAAACATCTGTGGGCAAGGATAGAAAGTTGCCAGACATATTGGATACGTCATTTGCTCAACACATTCGTTATATATTTAAATGATATACTAGAAATGACGTCATATCTTAAACATATCGATATATTCTATCATTAATAGACAACTAAAGGGACATAACTCTTACACCAATACCACAGAAGTTATTGGAAACAAGCTTTATCTTATAGAGTCCTTAACAGTGTAGCAGGCGTGTAATAGGAAATTAGAAGTATCACGACAGCATTCACGGTAAACTTATCATTTTTATACTAAAAATAGAGTGAAGATAAGCAATGCTATTTACTAATTCTATCATTTGGATCTTAATTTTCTGGAGTGTTTGGTTCATTTACTAATGTGACCTTATCGGTGCTTTTTGACGGCGAACGTATCCAATAGTTTAGGGGATAAAGGTCAAGTGGTATCCGAATGGTGTTTTCTTGAAACGATCAACGACATTGCTGACGAGCTAGATAATCGGAATGTTAGAGATAGACACATACCTATGGACGACACATTATTTCTAGCCGCGTCACTTTCTGTAACTATATATCCGTACTCTGATCTGTGACCTTTAAAGCCCCAATATACGTAAAAATCACTATAAAAAACAAACTTTATCTTATTTTCCCCGTAATATATGTAACAAAACAGATACTTTCCTTTAATTAAAGAAAATAAAACTGACTGTTTTCAATTTAAATAAAAATTGAAAAAATCGGAAAATAAACAATGTGGGACCCACAATAATTCATATATTACCGCTCGTAGCGATGACATTGCGCATGCGCATATTCCGCGTGTGTAAACATGGCAGACACAGTACAGACGTTCACCAGTCGCTTCCTTTTTTTCCAATCATACATCAGGCCAATTTTGAATTCTTACGTTATAATTGTGCGTCGTATCGTTTCTAAACTAATTATTCCTTCTAATAATTTCCCAAAAACTGAATGTTTATCACAGGAATACCTCAAGTCTTCGACAAGACTTCGCAAACAATGTTTGTAAACAAAAACTTACAGTAGACATATCTGCATGTGCTTCCTCTATAAGTAGAAACCTCAACTCTCGCGAGATCAGGTCATGAACTTTCAGACGTGGTTCGGCAACAATCGTAATTTCGATGGCGGCGTGTTTAAAATGGAGGTGTGTTTACAAATAACGAGTTTCAACTGCTTATATATCAATACTTTATGCACAAAGTCATGGTAACTATGGTTTGAATAACTTAATTTTAACTACATCTAAGAGAATATCTCAATAATTATGTGTGATTCTACACTGAATTTTTGGTAAATGTTACGTATATTGGGGCTTTAAAACACCAAAGTGATTCTGCTATAAGTTCTTTTATGAAATCTGGTCACGATCGGAGCAAATTAGGGAATTCTTCCAAGACAAGGGGTATCCATGTGCAACAATGAAAACTACATTGAAAACTACATTGAAAAACTACAATGTAAATTTTTCAAGTCCTGTAGCTTCATCTTAAGGTATATTGATAATGTCTTGTGCTTGAATAACAAAAGATTCGTTAACAATAGAAATCAGTTTCCTCTTCATCTGCCGCCAACCTCGGTGTTTACTGACATATTTCCGCTCAGCTGTTTGAGTAACGTTATGATCTTATTTCCATTCCTTGAATTTCCTATTTCTTCTTTAGTAACATTCCTACTTCTACAACTTATTTCGTTTATATGGTGCATCAGGTATCGACAACATATAAGTCAGGATTTCGAAAAATGCGAGGTCAAGAAGTGTATGATTCTTTATGTTCTCCCAAGCTCTCATTGGCTAGTAATTTTATTTTCTGGTACGATTCAAAAGTTAAATTGAAATGTGCTCGAAGCATGTCATCACCCCAAGTTCATACTTCTAAAGCGTCGCCTTTACTTGGCATGTGTTGTTGAAGATAAAGACGCTTACACTTCAGGACACTTGGTGTAATTTTCCATGTACCTGTTCTCACTCGAAATTTGTCCTTGGTGATTTAGTTAATACGCCGACGAATAAATTCACTGTATTTTGGCTATATAACCATCACTGTCTGTTCATATTCTCTTCCTCGGAGTGTACGCAAATTTCTCGTTTCTGGCTTGAAACGGAAAGATGAAGAAGGCTTTCCGTATTATATCAAAAACTCTTTATTGTCATGAAGTAAAACAAGCTGTCATAACATTCGTAATGTGCTTTTCGGTCAGCACAGATAAAGACGATGACAAATGTCATAATAGAAGAAAATGTTATATATAAATCAGTAAGTATGTACAAAGCTGGGACTCCGAAACTGGTATTTTAAGGTTCTGGAATTAAGTTAAAATGTAATGTTGAACGCGCTCTTGTTAAAAGAAAAAATCACCTCAACATTGAAAAAAGCAGTGCTGTACATGTCAATGTGTATGTTAGTATTGGAAGGAGTGCCATTTAAGATATCTTTTAACAAAGTGTGAAGAATCAAATATATCATAGGTATATCAAACGTAAGTTACGGCCACTAGACAGACTAAATACTCTCGTACATCCGACGTAAGTTACGGTCAATAGACAGACTAAATACTCTCGTACATCAGACGTAAGTTACGGCCAATAGACAGACTAAATACTCTCGTACATCAGACGTAAGTTACGGCCACTAGACAGACTAAATACTCTCGTACATCCGACGTAATTTACGGCCAATAGACATACTAAATACTCTCGTACATCAGACGTAAGTTATGGTCACTAGACAGACTAAATACTCTCGTACATCCGACGTAATTTACGGCCAATAGACATACTAAATACTCTCGTACATCAGACGTAAGTTACGGTCACTAGACAGACTAAATACTCTCGTACATCAGACGTAAGTTACAGCCAATAGACAGACTAAATACTCTCGTACATCAGACGTAAGCTAGGACCACTAGACAGTGTAAACTATCCAGTACAATACAGGTAAGGTATGACCACTAGACAGTGTAAACTACAATACAGGTAAGGTATGACCACTAGACAGTGTAAACTACAATACAGGTAAGGTATGACCACTAGACAGTGTAAACTATCCAGTACAATACAGGTAAGTTATGACCACTAGACAGTGTAAACTATCCAGTACAATACAGGTAAGGTCTGACCACTAGACAGTGTAAACTATCCAGTACAATACAGGTAAGTTATGACCACTAGACAGTGTAAACTACCCAGTACAATACAGGTAAGGTATGACCACTAGACAGTGTAAACTATCCAGTACAATACAGGTAAGGTCTGACCACTAGAGAGTGTAAACTATCCAGTACAATACAGGTAAGTTATGACCACTAGACAGTGTAAACTATCCAGTACAATACAGGTAAGTTATGACCACTAGACATTGTAAACTATCCAGTACAATACAGGTAAGGTATGACCACTAGACAGTGTAAACTGCAATACAGGTAAGGTCTGACCACTAGACAGTGTAAACTATCCAGTACAATACAGGTAAGTTATGACCACTAGACAGTGTAAACTACAATACAGGTAAGGTCTGACCACCAGACAATGTAAACCATCCAGTACAATACAGGTAAGGTATGACCACTAGACAGTGTAAACTACAATACAGGTAAGGTCTGACCACCAGACAGTGTAAACCATCCAGTACAATAAGGTAAGGTCTGACCACTAGACAGTGTAAACTACAATACAGGTAAGGTATGACCACCAGACATTGTAAACTACAATACAGGTAAGGTATGACCACCAGACAGTGTAAACTACAATACAGGTAAGTTATGACCACCAGACATTGTAAACTACAATACAGGTAAAGTCTGACCACTAGACAGTGTAAACTATCCAGTACAATACAGGTAAGGTCTGACCACTAGACAGTGTCAACTATTCAGTACAATACAGGTAAGGTCTGACCACTAGACAGTGTCAACTATTCAGTACAATACAGGTAAGGTCTGACCACTAGACAGTGTAAACTATCCAGTACAATACAGGTAAGGTCTGACCACTAGACAGTGTAAACTATCCAGTACAATACAAGTAAGGTCTGACCACTAGACAGTGTAAACTACAATACAGGTAAGGTCTGACCACTAGACAGTGTAAACTATCCAGTACAATACAGGTAAGTTATGACCACTAGACAGTGTAAACTATCCAGTACAATACAGGTAAGGTCTGACCACTAGACAGTGTAAACTACAATACAGGTAAGGTCTGACCACTAGACAGTGTAAACTATCCAGTACAATACAGGTAAGGTATGACCACTAGACAGTGTAAACTACAATACAGGTAAGGTATGACCACTAGACAGTGTAAACTACCCAGTACAATACAGGTAAGGTATGACCACTAGACAGTGTAAACTATCCAGTACAATGCACAGAATATGATGAAAACCAGCGGGAAGGCAAGCCTGGAAATCCGATCGATTCGCTCTCCTCGTTTCCGAACTTTCACTTTGGATAAATCGGGATCAAAACTGTCACTTTTCTTCACCTACAAAAAAGTATTTAGAATAAAGAATCATGATTGATTCATACCATATAGTGAATGCCTATATTAAAAGCTATATTACAAAAACGGAACTTGCGTTTCTTTTTTTTTCCACTTGTACTTAAATATGAGATTGTCGATCTGTGTTTAATTATTCTATTTAGAGATGTCAGTAATATTACTATAGTTGGTATAAAAATTTTAGAATAAGTAAAGACATAGTGCATTGTTGTTTCCATGTGATTGTTATATATAGAAAGAACAATGAATTTGGTCTGAATTTCATTTCATAACATCATTGCCTTAATAAGGGATCACAGTGATGACGATTTAACATCCATATATGAAGAATGCGTGATTATACATAAAGTAAGGCAGGAAAGAGAAATTCCGTCGAAGAGAAACGGTGTCTATTTTAAATTTGTATCGCTCATTATTGTCCTGGTTTAACAGAGAACGGTCTCCACCTGATTCTGTCTTGTTCATCATTGCCCTTGTTGAATCCTTTTTTCGGTTTGAATTAAAAATTTGGTTAATTATTGATACATTTTTCCCATATTTTAGAATCAGAAGATATTCTTCCTTTCTTGAAAAATACAAGATATTTAAAAAAAAAAGTGGGATAAAAATTTTGAAAGTTTCCAACCTGCGAGATAAATCATTGCAAGTAAAATTCTTTTTATTCCTTTTTTTCTCACACTTTAATGATGCCACTTAAAATGTGCCACTGTAGTACCACGTTGCAGTCAAGAGCATGTTTCCAATATCAAAGGTTGTTTGATGTCGTTACTTTACAATGAATTTGCTCAAAGTGTTTCGAGAGATACAGGCCGATAAAGGGAAGCAACGTATGGCGTCATCGTGTAAATACTTCTTTATATAAACCTTTGTTAACATATGTTTTTTAAAAAATGTTTCCATATTTACGCTCCATCGAGTTTGCATGTTGGTTTCGTTGTTGTTTATATTGTTCACATTTGAGAACGTGACAATATTTATTTAACTTGGCCAAGATTTACATGGAAGGTGTCGTCGATGAAGCAGAAGACGCTTACTCTTCCGGAACACCTGAATATATATTTTTGTTTATATTTTGCCCTAGTTTGATTTAAGTTTTGGTTATGATTTTGTTCACATATTGGTATTTTTTGTTGTTTTCATATTTTGTTTTATTGCAGAACATATTTGGATTACAGGTACGAGAAAAAAATCAAATCGTCCAAAGTCCAATCCAATCAATGAGAGACAGTGATGTTTTAAGGTATATATTGCATTCATCGCTCTTTAAGAAGGATTAAAGATTTCTATTATCTAACATTTAGAAATACCAGTACCTTGGGTATAGTATTGGTACTTTGCAGAGTCACTTATTACGAAAACTTATCCATGCTTATGACAATTTGTCTCCAGAAAAATAAATGGATACATGGGATCAAACAAATCTTTTTAGTTTTACAGAAATGTTTTGTTTATATGATGTAAAAATTTTATCATCAATACATACGTCCTTCCGCTCCATGACATTGACCAGGGCGTATTCCAACATGGCGGCAAAGACGAATCCTAAGCACACAGCCATCCACACATCAAGTGCCTTGATATATGAAACCTGCGGTACGGACGACGCTAGGTTTGTCCTCTGGTTGGTAAGTGTAAGAACTGTGAGAATTCCAAGTGAGATTCGAGCTGGGACCGCGTCAATACTGAGCCAGAAGGATACCCAGGAGAGAAGCACTATAAGTATGGTGGGGATGTAGACTTGTATGACAAAATAGCCGATGTTCCTGTCGAAATGCATTTGCATCTGAATGCACGTAAAGTTACCTGTAATATAGGAATGTTATTATATCTCGGGTAATGTTGCACGTCGATATAAAACGAAACATAAACAGTAGATATCACATCGAAACACAAACAGTTGATATCACATCGAAACACAAACAGTTGATATCACATCGAAACACAAACAGTTGATATCACACCGAAACATAAACAGTTGATATCCCACCGAAACACAAATAGTTGATATCACACCGAAACACAAACAGTTGATATCCCACCGAAACACAAACAGTTGATATCCCACCGAAACACAAACAGTTGATATCACATCGAAACACAAACAGTTGATATCACACCGAAACATAAACAGTTGATATCCCACCGAAACACAAACAGTTGATATCACACCGAAACACAAACAGTTGATATCACATCGAAACACAAACAGTTGATATCACACCGAAACACAAACAGTTGATATCACATCGAAACACAAACAGTTGATATCCCACCGAAACACAAACAGTTGATATCCCACCGAAACACAAACAGTTGATATCCCACCGAAACACAAACAGTTGATATCACACCGAAACACAAACAGTTGATATCCCACCGAAACACAAACAGTTGATATCACATCGAAACACAAACAGTTGATATCACACCGAAACACAAACAGTTGATACCACATCGAAACACAAACAGTTGATATCCCACCGAAACACAAACAGTTGATATCACACCGAAACACAAACAGTTGATATCACACCGAAACACAAACAGTTGATATCCCACCGAAACACAAACAGTTGATATCACATCGAAACACAAACAGTTGATATCACATCGAAACACAAACAGTTGATATCACATCGAAACACAAACAGTTGATATCACATCGAAACACAAACAGTTGATATCACATCGAAACACAAACAGTTGATATCACATCGAAACACAAACAGTTGATATCACATCGAAACACAAACAGTTGATATCACATCGAAACACAAACAGTTGATATCACATCGAAACACAAACAGTTGATATCAAACACCGAAACACAAACAGTTGATATCACATCGAAACACAAACAGTTGATATCACATCGAAACACAAACAGTTGATATCACACCGAAACACAAACAGTTGATATCCCACCGAAACACAAACAGTTGATATCCCACCGAAACACAAACAGTTGATATCACATCGAAACACAAACAGTTGATATCACACCGAAACACAAACAGTTGATATCCCACCGAAACACAAACAGTTGATATCCCACCGAAACACAAACAGTTGATATCACATCGAAACACAAACAGTTGATATCACATCGAAACACAAACAGTTGATATCCCACCGAAACACAAACAGTTGATATCACATCGAAACACAAACAGTTGATATCACATCGAAACACAAACAGCTGATATCCCACCGAAACACAAACAGTTGATATCACATCGAAACACAAACAGTTGATATCACATCGAAACACAAACAGTTGATATCACATCGAAACACAAACAGTTGATATCCCACCGAAACACAAACAGTTGATATCACATCGAAACACAAACAGTTGATATCCCACCGAAACACAAACAGTTGATATCACATCGAAACACAAACAGTTGATATCACATCGAAACACAAACAGTTGATATCCCACCGAAACACAAACAGTTGATATCACATCGAAACACAAACAGTTGATATCACATCGAAACACAAACAGTTGATATCACATCGAAACACAAACAGTTGATATCAACGAAACACAAACAGTTGATATCACATCGAAACACAAACAGTTGATATCACATCGAAACACAAACAGTTGATATCACATCGAAACACAAACAGTTGATATCACATCGAAACACAAACAGTTGATATCACATCGAAACACAAACAGTTGATATCACATCGAAACACAAACAGTTGATATCACATCGAAACACAAACAGTTGATATCACATCGAAACACAAACAGTTGATATCACATCGAAACACAAACAGTTGATATCACACCGAAACATAAACAGTTGATATCCCACCGAAACACAAACAGTTGATATCCCACCGAAACACAATCCGAAACACAAACAGTTGATATCCCACCGAAACACAAACAGTTGATATCACATCGAAACACAAACAGTTGATATCACATCGAAACACAAACAGTTGATATCACATCGAAACACAAACAGTTGATATCACATCGAAACACAAACAGTTTATATCACACCAAAACACAAACAGTTGATATCACACCGAAACACAAACAGTTGATATCACATCGAAACACAAACAGTTGATATCACATCGAAACACAAACAGTTGATATCACATCGAAACACAAACAGTTGATATCACACCGAAACACAAACAGTTGATATCACATCGAAACACAAACAGTTGATATCACATCGAAACACAAACAGTTGATATCACATCGAAACACAAACAGTTGATATCACACCGAAACACAAACAGTTGATATCCCACCGAAACACAAACAGTTGATATCACACCGAAACACAAACAGTTGATATCACATCGAAACACAAACAGTTGATATCACACCGAAACACAAACAGTTGATATCCCACCGAAACACAAACAGTTGATATCACACCGAAACACAAACAGTTGATATCCCACCGAAACACAAACAGTTGATATCCCACCGAAACACAAACAGTTGATATCACATCGAAACACAAACAGTTGATATCACATCGAAACACAAACAGTTGATATCACATCGAAACATAATAGGTGATATGAAACCGAAACATGTACATGCAAGAAAGTATTTTTACAAACCTGCAGTATCACCTCCAAAGCTTAAACATTCCGAAACGTGGTGCTCAGTGAGATCAAATTGCGGGAGTTCCATATTTTCGTTGGTTTGTATCGGATTAACCTTACGCCAACGGAATCGTAAATTGTTTCTGGTAAAGGCAACTGTAATGAGCCATGAAAGGTTTGATGAAGGTTTATCAATGATACAATACTGACATATATATGCTGTATTGAAAATTTAAATATGTGACGCAATTATCATTCTAAAGCAGATTATGTCTTATTCTAAAAGTAGTTATTGACAAATTAGTTAACGATATCTATGGTTAAATATATATACTTAACTTAAAATGCTTAAAATGAATGACTTATGTAACGTTATTTTATAAAATGGCTGTTAGATAACGTCGTTATTTAAAATGAATGACTTATGTAACGTTGTTTTGTGAAATAGCTGTTAGATAACGTCGTAGTTTAAAATGAATGACTTATGTAACGTTATTTTGTGAAATGGCCGTTAGATAACGTCGTTATTTAAAATTAATAAACTGGTAACGTTCTTAGTGAAATAGATGTAAGGTGCTGTGAAATCTGTAGAAAAATAATTATCGCATGTGTGTTATTTTGTGTGCTGAAATAATACGTATGATATATGGAATACCCTGAAAAACTAATTGATAACCATATGATTCTTGAATATGCTTATGAATATGTCCTGTTATGAACATCAATGTAAGACTATTCTTCTATTAAAACAATAAGGATATGTAATGATAATTTCACATTTCCTATGCTCTATATACATACTAATGATTGCCAACTTACAACTTTGCATGTAGAGCGCACAAATTTGAGAGTCTAGTGGGTACTTGTGGAGCTTCATCGGACATGAGGTGGTAATGGACACCCTGTCATGAGTAGTTCGAAAAACACGCACGTGACATGAAAGACTTCAAACATTGTACAATTTCTAGCGATAGTAACATAAATAACACATAGTAAATCTTCTAAAAATAGTAACGTTATAAACACATTGTATAATTTCTAGCGAGAGTAACATTATTAAAACATTTTATAATTTCTAAAAATAGTAACATTATTCAGTAATTGTATAATTTCTAGCGATAGCTACATTGTTAAAACATTGTATAACTTCTAAAAAACAGTAACATAATTGTTAATAGTGAAATTTGTCGCTCAAGTGTAGAACATAATTTGTGTTAAATCTTAATGTGACCGGCTGGCTTATCAGACAGATAATTTAATTGCGGTCACCTTAGTGTCAGAATCATGCCGTGAAACATTGGCTGGACATGCTCTCCACCAGTGAGACATTAACTGGTCACGGTTTAATTGTAGATCAGTAGAAGACACTTTTCCCTATCAGAATTAGATTATAATTACTTTAGGATAAACTGTAAGATCACAGCAAATAGAGTCAGTCCTGGTGTGGCCGTGGAAGGAGTAACTTGTTAAGCTCGATACTCAGGCCATACATGTTATCATTGTTGTAACTTGTGTTAATACTCAACATTTGTACTTGAGGACGGTTGTTGCTGGTCTTTTGTATAACATAAGGATAGTACAACATAGAGGGGTAACAATAATTAACACATTGCCTTATTTCTAGCGATTGTAACATGAACACATTGTTTTCTGTCTTCACCTGTCTATAAGTCAGTGAAAGTGTTATTTTCTGTCCCTTATAGCCTTATAGCCTCTGTGTACTGTAAAAGGATGAAATCTAATGAAATAATTCAATACAAGTCTCCATTAAATGATAATGATAAAAGTGTCTGATGAAAAAAATAAATCATCCATTCAAAAGGAGTTTAAGTTGAAACCAGAACAGTTAGGGTATTTAAAAAGTTTAACTTCATCAAATACAATTTAAAATCCATGCTTCAAATTATGTACACAAACATACACAAAATATCTTGAACTATTTAAATAACAAAACAATCAGTCACACCAAAGAGAAAGAAAAAGGAATTAAAACAATAAAAAAATAAATGAATGAATGAATATATTCAATAAATTGGTTAATAGATAAATAAAATGATTAATAAATAGACAAGAAAGAAAATACAAAATAAGATTGCCAGGAGATCAACAGAAAGGTAAAACAGATATACGATATTCAGCGAGGGACTAAGAAATGTATTTAGGAATTATTTAACAGTAATTGAATTTGTTGAAATCTGTATGAAATCATATATACTTTACCGTAATCGATACACGATCCGACCGTTCTCGTAAAGGTGGAGCATTTTGTTGGGCACTGTCACGTCATGAAATGACGCCTTCTTTTCGTTGGTAACGTAGAGGTCAGGAACCCAGATCAGATCAATCAATTTGGAGTCGAGTTCGAGATATGCCGAGTCGATGAGTTCGTAAAACTGTAGACGGGCGTCTATCCATTCTTGTTGTATGAACATGTTCAGCTGAAGATCCTACGATATTCGAAAATAAATCATACAAAAAATTATTTGTTTTTTATTACATACGAAAGTATTTCTATATGGAATTGGTTTTATGACTTGCCTGACTTTTCCCGTCATTGCCACTTGTGTCATCTCCCGTTAGTTAGGATACTTTATAATTAGTTGTGAGTGAACATTTTATAAAAGTAATTTAATAGTAGGCTAGGTCTACAATTAGGCCGAGGGGTTGTCTTCTAGATTATAGTTTTAGAACAGGTCAAGTAGCATAGTCAAGTAGCTCTACCTCATCTCTGTATCCCACTCCCTCCCATTGCTTCCTATTCTTCCCTTTTACTCACTTTCCTATCTTTTCTCGTTGAATAAAATTTTTAAAATCTTATTCCTCGTTTGCGCAGGCCAGTCCGTATGAAAGGCGGCGTGTCGTGTCCTCTTCATTGTTTGTGTAGGCTACTCTATACAAAAAGCGGAGCGTCGTGTCCTGTTCATTGTTCGTGTATGCTAGTCCGTATGAAAGGCGGCGCGTCGTGTCCTGTTCATTGTTCGTGTAGTCTAGTCCGTATGAAAGGCGACGCGTCGTGTCATCTTCATTGTTCGTGAAGGTTAGTCCGTATGAAAGGCAGCGTTGTGTCTTGTTCATTGTTTGTGCAAGCTAGTCCGTATGAAAGGCGACGCGTCGTGTCCTGTTTATTATTTTTGTAGGCTAGTCTATATGAAAGGCGGCGTGTCCTGTCCTGTTCATTGTTTGTGTACGTTAGTCCGTATGAAAGGCGGTGCGTTGTGTCCTGTTCATTGTTTGTGCAGACTTGTCCGTACGAAAGGCGGCATGTCGTGCCTTGTGCATTGTTTGTGGAGGCTAGAACTGCTTATGTTTGCTCCCGTGTAGGGAATAATGTGCAAAACAAGGAAAGGACAAACAAAACAAGGACAGCGTTGTGGCTTTGGACAACGGTTTGGCTGAGGACAGCGTTGAGGGTGAGGACAGCGTTAATAGCGAAGACAGCGTTAAGAGCGAGGACAGCGTTGTGGATGAGGACAGCGTTAAGGGCAAGGACAGGATTGTGACTGAGGACAGCGCTGAGGGGGAGGACAACGTAGTGGGTGAGGACAGCGTTGAGGGGGATGACAGCGTTGAAGGCGATGACGGCATAAAGGAGAGGACAACGTTGTGGGTGAGGATAGTGTTGTGGGGAAGGACAGCGTTACAGGCGAGGACAGCGATAAGGGCGAGGACGGTGTTGAGGGGCAGGACAGCGTTGTTGGTGACAACAGCGTTAAGAGCGAGGACAGCGTTGTGGGTGAGGACAGCGTTAAGGGCAAGGACAGGATTGTGACTGAGGACAGCGCTGAGGGGGAGGACAACGTAGTGGGTGAGGACAGCGTTGAGGGGGATGACAGCGTTGAAGGCGATGACGGCATTAAGGAGAGGACAACGTTGTGGGTGAGGATAGTGTTGTGGGGAAGGACAGCTCTGTGGGTGAGGACAGGATTGAGGGGCGATAACAGTGCTTAGAGGGAGGACAGTGTTGTGGGTGAGGACAGCGTTGTGTGGGAGGACAACCGTTTTGTAATCGTTCTAACTAGTGCATGAGCAGAGGCAGCATGCACGTAAACAAGTGATGATAGCGAGGATGTCGACAATCAAGTGGACTCCGGAAACCATTGGTCACAACATGACAATGTGGCAACCGAGGAGATTTAGTAAAAGATGATGACCAGACGGCCATCAGGGATGACGTTGTCCTGCTCATTCCGCTATAGTTTGTTAAAAAAATAATGTTTTTACAAACTGTAAATTATACAATTAAAAAGTAAATAGAAATTATACTTTTCTGTCTGTTGATGTAAGTTACACTCTAAAATATCGTTTCATGATACTCTCCCGTCATTCATATGTACACAGGTGCGCATCATTGTGTGAGAGGTTTTAATGTAGATTCACATTTGTTTTATTTGAAGTATCATATATTACACGGCGCGTTGAAAAAATTCGTAGAGAACTACCCATGAAAAGCCTACATACTGTTACTTTATTTATGAGTGGCGGCGCTTCCTGTCTGTGTCTGTTGTCTTTATAATTTGAGACTTGTGCCTTTGAAGCATGATTCGTCCTGACTTGTTATCTGTTCGATAAGTTAAAGGAATGACCTTACTCTTCCACACTTATGATCACGTCGCTACCATTAACCTTTTAGTCAAACAGTTAGGGGAAGTTCATATCGTTTTACTCTCCGAGAACGACAATGACGCCGCTCCCCAGGGATCTGGCTAAGCTGATTTACATTACAACTCTAGAAATATTGACGGAACTTGTAGTTCTCGTGCAAATATCAACACCAACGTACATCTATATATCATGAATTTCAATATTTGCTTGTATGAAGACGTTTAATACATTTCAACACCTTCCTTATTATTTTAAATCTGAGTTGGGTTAGTGTTATCATCTACATACGCTTTCACTGTAGTATCAAAACATGTTATCCAGACTAGGTCCATGAAAGGGATGAGACCGGAAGTGACGTTAATACTTACCATTGTCTGCTCACTGATGGAGTCTACACTGTTGATGAAGAGGCTGACGTTTACATCGGTATAGGAATCTAGAATTAAATAAGATATTGAAATCAATACTTGATGACTGAAATGGACCAGATACAAATTTTAGCATTCTCATTTGCTATAAATTTGGTCAACTGTTGCTATGTCCAACCCTAAATGTTTGGTCGACATGCCACTGTCGGTCCAAACACAGATTTTGTGATCGCCATTTTAAGATACTTTATAATGCTCTGGTATGCAATGGATAAACGAGACAACTCTATACTGGATATTGGAAGTATTACAGGTTAGTGAGAACAGCCAAACTACGATGTTCACATATAGATGTAAGTACGGCTTATCATATCAATGTAGCCGTGCAAAATGTTACTTACTCCCTTCTTACATTATCATGAATAGGACGATTCAATTAAATACACATTCCACAGACACTTGCTAGTAAGTCTACAGTCATATCTTCAGGTCTGTTAGGGGACATTAAAGTAATTCTAGAGGTATTGTTACTTGATCCAGTGATATTTGCTAGCGTGTTTACAACCTTACTAGGGATGCCTACATCGATTCCAGTGATATTTGCTAGCATGTTTAAAGCCTTATTTGGGACGCCTACATTGATTCAGTGATATTTGCTAGCGTGTTTACAGCCTTACTAGAGACGCCTACATTGATTCCAATGATATTTGCTAGCGTGTTTACACCCTTTTTAGGGACGCCTACATTGATTCAGTGACATTTGCTAGCGTGTTTACAGCCTTATCAGGGACGCCTATATTGAATCTGTGATATTTGCTAGCGTGCATATTTACAGCCTTATTAGGGACGCCTACATTTATTCCAGTAATATATGCTAGCGTGTTTACAACCTTACTAGGGACGCCTATATTGATTAAGTGATATATGCTAGCGTGTTTTAAGCCTTATTAGGGACGCCTTCCTTGATTCCAGTGACATTTGCTAGCGTGTTTACAGCCTTATTAGGAACGCCTTAATTGATTCCAGCAACATTTGTTAACGTGCATATTTACAGCCTTATTAGGAACGCCTACATTGATTCAGTGATATTTGCTGACGTGTTTACTTATAACACGTTAAAGTAATCGGGCGATGACAATATTAATGTTGACTATAAAGCCTTGATAGGGATAATTGTCTCGCCTACGTATTAACAGCCATGCTGATTCGTTTAATGATATCACAAGTAATATTTTTAATTATAACCATTAAAATAACATTTGTCAAAAAAAGTCGATCAGACTAGAGACGAAACTTACAACTCACAAAATGTTTTTGTGATAATAGGATATGGATGTTCTGCCTGATATCGATTTTCCCTTTGAAGTTAAGATTTTGCAATTTTGAAAGCCATTGACTGACTGAAATTAATCATTATCAAAATGATAAGACTAGCCGAAAACTTCAATCCTATAACACCTGACGAGTTAACTAAATTACCCATACCATTATCATTATATATTGTGATAAATACATCCGAAAGCTTATGTACCACAGTACATAACACGTCGTACTGTCAGGAGACCCAGAATGCAGAGGTCTATCCCTTCATAACGTGTCTGTTCGTTACAGTATTCATCAATAGATACACATTTCAGCTATATCTTATTGAAACGTTGTTGTTTTTCTCATTCCTATTATGTCATATTTGAACAAAATGGATGTACAATAAAGACTCTATTCCTCTTTTTTACAAGTTTTAAACCGAGCCAGAATGGATGTACAATAAAGGCTCAATTCCTCTTTTTTGCCAGTTTTGAACCGAGTCTGTTTTCTTTTGATAAAATGTAAATATATAACATTTATTAAAACTCTACCTACAAAACTTTCCCCTCCATATCAATGCTATTTAATGGCTCATTAGTATGTACAGCTGTAGTAAATAGTTAAGACCTAGATGATCATATATATATAGAGAGAGAGACAATGTGTGTAGCACGATTGTCATCACGTTTATCGTAGTTCACGCGAATCTGCGGATGTCACTTTCAATATCCGAAGAGATACGTTCGGAACTGCCTAAAATGACCTTTCGGAAGCTATTTTCCGGATATTCTATTGGATTTATCCTTCTATTAGGTTATCAATTCCATGTAATGTCGGCCTTTAAGCTACAGAAATCTTCAATGTCCTTCGGTGTAACGATTACGACCAGTTTAACTCTAACACCCACGGTCCCTACAACCAGATAATAGACTCTAACGGAATATCACACTGCAATAATTATACCTCGTTTGTCTTCCTGAAAAATGGAATCGTTAAGATAAAATAAAATAGATGCATTGAAGAAGTCTGAAGAGACCAGTTATAACAAAATTGATGTCGGACTCATAGCAAAAACAGGCTTCTATGAGGAATCGGAGATGTGCTTCTGTATTTTATTTAGAAAAAGAACTGGTTATCACAGCAAGGGTAATGACCCTCTAATAGATAAGAGCACGGCTGAAAGGAAGTGGGGAAGTGTTTCATGCAGGATTTAAATTGGGGATCGAGACAAAAAACCTTGAAAAAAGACAACTAAGACGTATTGAGATTGATTGTCCACGATAACTCAGACAAGTTCCACTAATGTTAAACAAAGCCGACTTGGTGGCTATGTAATGTTAAAGATGATCAATGACAGACTACTCTATATAATGAGGAGTGGGGAGACTGACATAGGACACCCTCACCCCGCCCCCCTTACCTAATATATGATACACAATAAGGTCTCTTTTAGAAAATCGATGTGTGGAGCCGTCTGATCTGAGCTTTAGGGTGACTAGTAATAATTATATATCTATAATTTTTATGACATCTGCCATTTTATGTTTCAAAAATAAAGCAGACTTTGATTTAATATCTCTATATTAAACGGTTTCAAATTGAAATTAATATATTTTTTTATGAAACGGTGTAAATGTGATGAGGAAAATTTTCTACCACATTGTAAATCTCACTTAGAATCGTTTAAAGCATGGTAAAAATTGTTAAAAAAGAATCTTTGACACTTTAGAAAGTAAAAAAAACCACACACACATATATATAATAAAAGATGATAAAAAAACATGTTCATGGACAAGCATATTTTTGCTTCTAGTTTTTCAACGACACCCGCCATGCAATATAGGTCAATGATACAATTTCACGGTTAATAAGGTAAAATAAGACCAAAAACAATAAAAAAGAACAACAACAAAAAACAAAAACAAAATAACCCCCCCCCCTCCCAAAAAAACCCCCACATCCAACCATATTTATTTCATTCTTTTTCATTAGGAAAGAAGTTTGGAAAAAACTGGATATTTTTGTCTATGAAAAAGAGAAAACTGCCACTTTTAATATCTGAAGGGTTTTTATCAACCTTGACAAAATCCTATGAATAACTTACATCAATAAATAGATGTCACCTTTTTAAGAGATTTCGGAAATTTTAACTGATGGTTGATGTATTTATAGTAATTATTGCTACTTACCGTAATAAAGCAGACTTTGATTTAATATCTCTATGTTAAACGGGTTCAAATTGAAATAAATATTTTTTATGAAACGGCGTAAATGTAAGTGTAAATATAATGATTTCTGGTCTAACAAAAATATACTATAACAGGGAATTTGATATATATTTTATATGATATTGTGTATAAAACATGGATACATGGTTTTCCTGGTCTGTGAATTTTGTCATGGATGAATAATGTTATTATCTGTGGCAATAAATATTTGACAGAATATTCGCATTGAACAACCGAATGATAAAATGTTCCAAACCCATGAGACGGATATTTGATAAAATCTGTCTGTTCGTCAGACGGATGTTTGGCCAAATCTGTCTGTTCGTCAGATTGAAGTATCACTTGTAAATGTATGAAGTGACAAGGCCACAGTAGTGAATTCATGAACAGGCTGTTAAAGTTACAACCCATTGATAACATGAATATGTAGGATGATATGTGACTGACCAAGCGTATATCTTGTGTAGACGAATTAAATACAATATATTTTTTATTTGACTCTGTGAAGCAATGTTTGATATGATTTAGGATCTAACAGACAAAATTATAGCCAATGTAATTTTGCACCATATGATCGTCTCTTCTCGTTACATACAATACCCAGTGCTTTTGAAGTTTGAGGTGATAGTATCGACAGTCCAACTCATAGAACACCAACAACACTATCGAGGGAAACACAAACACCAGGCTCGTGAAATGTATAGACTAGTTACACTTCCAAGGTCTGCGTTCTGAAATCGTTAAGAGAATAACAGGACAGACAACCCCGCTTAGGATAAAGACTACAGACAAATAATGACCAGCGAACACGCTAGACTAAATTACGACTGGGAATTACTCACGTGGTTTATTTGATTGTCACATACTCCGACTAAATTGGGGTGGACATTTTGGCAAAAAATTCAAACTGATGTCTTTGAAACTGTCAATGGAATAAAACAGTTAATGACGAGGAATCTTCCTGAGTGGAAAGGATTTTTCGGTCACAACTTAGGCGGTAGTTATAAGTTGATAGTGAGTGATGAAATAAGGAATTTTGTCGGATAAGCATTGTAAGGTCGCTTCACTAGATATTACCTAATGACACAGGGTATTAAATTGTATGGCTTCGCTTAATATTATCTAATGACAAAGCCAAATCTTTTCAGCTAAAAATCATTTTGATTTATTGAATAGTAGCTTAAACATATGCTAGTGCTTTCATCTTGCTCAGTACTGGCTACAAATCACGGGATAAACTTGGCCGTTCTGTATAATTAGGTTCTCGGGTCAGTCATCTCGCGTCAATTCCTATTCTAAGTAATAGCTGAAACAGCATATAAAGTGTGTGCTCTTCACTGTGAAACAACGAGATAATGAAATATCACACTGATTTATATGAGAATGGCGGAGCTATATTTTGGAATGTTTTTAATGAAAGGTTGGCCCTACGATACATCCTCTAGGGCTAAACAGAGGTCGAATTGACTTAAGTACATTGTTACCATCTCGTGTACTCTTTGGTCTTCAATTTTTTTATCATCTCGTCACACTATTTTCGACCTTAGTGAACAATGGATTATATTACAGCCGAAAACGTTAGTCAATTCCTTGCAATCTCGCTACATTTTTTTCTATCTTAATGCAGGTAGGATTATGGTACAGCCGAACAAATAAACCGATTCCTCACCATCCCGTACACTACGTACGTCAGTACTACTATACTCCACAATAGTCATCTGTTTCATGAAGGTGACCGTGTAATCATCGAAACATCACACTTTAATCTTCTACTGGTTGTGTTGTAAGATGAAGGTGACGGTGTAGTCATCGAAACGTCACACTTTAATCTTTTACTGGTTGTGTTATAAGATGAAGGTGACTGTGTAGTCATTGAAACGTCACACTTTAATCTTTTACTGGTTGTGTTATAAGATGAAGGTAACCATGTAGTCATCGAAACGTCACACTTTAATCTTTTACTGGTTGTGTAGTAAGATAGAGGTGACCGTGTAGTCATCGAAACGTCATACTTTAATCTTCTACGGGTTGTGTTATAAGATGAAGGTGACCATGTAGTCATCGAAACGTCACACTTTAATCCTCTACATGTTGTGTTATAAGATGAAGGTGACAGTGTAGTCATCGAAACGTCACACTTTAATCCTCTACCGGTTGTGTTATAAGATGAAAGTGTCCGTGTAGTCATCGAAACGTCACACTTTAATCCTCTACAGGTTGTGTTATAAGAACTTCTACTCTACCGACATGACCATGATGATGAAAATGTTCCGAAACAGAAGCTACATTGTAGTTGTAGTGTAAAGATGCAAATAACACTGCTAGAAGTCTCAAGGTCTCAGCGATAGACAGACTGTCTGACATAGGGTTCAAATAGCATTTGGTAGAGGCAAGGTGAATCTCTTGCTAGAAGTCTGTTATGGAGGAAATTCGTTTAATTCTGTGTTTGTCTCTTATTTTTGTCTCGGATGTAATGAATAGCTTGTCTGGGATAGTTTAAACTTGACTTGGAATTTTGTATTAAGCCCACGATTTTTCCACGACTCTCAAAGGGATACCATCAGGTAGATTCGAAATGGGGGTGACCGGTCGAGGAGTGAAAGACGTCATTTACAAATGCTTTACCTTCTGGTTAGATTAATGTTGTAAGGGCTGGATTCCTTGCTTGGGATATGGTGTTTAGCTGTGGCCAGAAAAAGTACATATGACGGCTTAATTTTCACAGAACAAGCAAGTGTTCCAGGAATCGCAATATCATGTAAGTCCTTGTTATTTCGATAACCTGTTAATGCGACTTAAAGAATCCGTCGACATGTCGATTCCTCGCATGCGGTTGTAGATCAAGAACTATTTGATATAGGCAGAAAATTTATCGCGAAATTATGTTCGGTCAGAAATCACACTAATGATGTGCCTTTGAGAAATGTTCAGTACGAATTATCGCTAGAGACACGCACTAATGTTACACCAAGGAGGCTTGGGGCAACAAGACTTTTATAAAGGTCATGTGTAGACAACACAAAAGATAAAATAAAGGGAATGTTTTGAATCAGCAATAGAATATGGAATTATTCTGTTTTACACAAGTAAATGTCAAACGGCACGTTTGTCTCAAAAATGATTTTTAACAATAAAAAGTCTCCCGGGATTTAGAAATTCCTTTCTCCACACAAGATTGAATGCACAGTCAAGGTTGAAAAATTTCCTGTACTGTTCATGTAGCATTTAGTAAAGTACATATAACCACCAGCTCTCAACACTGAATTTCTTTTCTCTGAAGGTTAAGGTCTTCATCTCTCAGTATCTCTGTCTATGTGTTCTGTCTGTCTGCTTCTTAATTATAAGCAAGCATTTTTGTGAAAACATTTTAACAAAGGAACATGCATCCGTTGTGTACCAAAAAGGTTTGTATAAATTTTATTCAAGGACTATACTCACCATTTTCAAAATTTGGTTGTATTCTACTGTCGTAGTCGATAAGAAGTGCTTGAATAAATTCTTCTCTGCAACGGTAAAATAAAAACAATATAGTGAATTAAAAAAAAAAATTAAAGTTTATCGGGTCATCTTATTTTAGTCATTTATTTTCATCACTTACAGTCAGGAACTGAAAACATTTTGTTTGATTATCAAAATTCGCGTGTTTAATATGCGCCGTGTAACTTAAGGTGAAAATAGCGAATATCACACACTGCATGGAGAAGACCACGCGTTTCAGGAATAAATTATCAATTTGTTTTCTGTTTCTCTCTCTGTTCTCTTTTTTATTTTCTGTAGCAGGACACGTTGTGCATGGTTGTAAGAAATACAAATAACCTTTTACCGGATGCCGTACTGGACGTTTTGAAAAACATGATCATTTCTAACACGGAGAGTTTATAGTTCCCACCAAGAAACTCACGAAAAAAAGTTTCAACTGAATTACAAAACATTATCTCGTCATTGTTTAAGATACTTGTTTATTTGACGAATATGGAAATGTTGGATGATGTTGAAAATATTGGTCAGTCCAAATAATGTCACGTTCTCAAAAGGCAAACCGGGTTTTAAATATCAATGAATCAGATGACGACCAGACCAAACATGTTTGTACCGACCCTCTGTCTATAGCGACCATATTCTATTAGTGTCCTGGTTGATCGCTATAGCCAGGTTTGACAGCACATTAACGCGTCTGCTGCTGTAACCGATAAACACTCGTATCGAACTAGATAATCGAATCGTCTTCAACTTATTTTGTTTTCAACGGTTTTAATTTTCAAAGTTCGGTGAACTGATGGCAAAATGACACCCTTCACTGAAATAGTTACGCTACGACCGGGTTGTTACTTCGAAGACTTTACTGCATTCTTCGCCGTCAAATCTTTAGAAAACTTTCCCTTTTCTTCAAACGCTATATTAGAAACTCAAAACAAATTTGATTTTATTTCTGATAGAAACCAAATTAAATGTCAATCGAGCCATTTCTTTGCTGTTGTTTTCAGGACGGTTGCTATGACAATGCCAATATCTCGGATACTTTCGCGCGAAAAAAAATGTCTTTTTTCGACATCACTCCCATGTAAAACATCAGAAAATGTGCATAGTATAAGTAAAACATGGTAGAATATCAGATATAATTCTGATCAAAATTCATGGGATTAAAACAATGTACGATTCACTTAATTACTATCGCGATTCATGGAATATTTCCACAAACACGATATTGTTATACTTTCATGAAGACTGAGAGTTGTAAAAATCATTCCTTGATTTTTGTTTGCAATTAAAAAAAAAATATCATTTCGAAATGTTCACTGAATTAAAATGATATTAACATGTAATGACTTGAAACAGACTATTCGTGCCCGTGTTGGTCAGTGACCAAGCTATATACTGTACGTTTTCACAAAGTAAAATTGACATACCTTGTTGCCTTGGATACTCCGTGCATAAGCATAAACAAAAGAACGACAATTCCCCTGGAACAGGAGAACCGTTCACAATGCCATCCGAACACCATCCTCACTTAAACAGTTCTCCAGTAACAGTCAGTGATGCTGACAGCTTCCACCACTGTTCATTAACCGAAGTTTGACGGTTCACTTGTTCCACGAGGATGACTGGTCGCTGAGAGGCGGTCCGCTAAAATCTGTAAGCCTTACAGTCATACATATCCCAACAGAGCTGCCATTCTGTACCTGTTTCATCGATCGATTTTTTTACAATTTAAACAAAATCATATTTTAACGTGTGAGGGCAGTGTAACATGCTTGTGGGGCCAATATGACTTAAATGAGATCAATGTTATTTTCATTTCCAGTCTCAGATAACATTACAATGAGATACGGGATTAAGATTTTAAATTCATTCCTAACAAGATCCAAAGCTCCTGTGATCGGTTTTACTGTTAAAGTCTACCAATTATAAACGGGACAACGATTTTAACTAAAAAGCGCCATATTTTGGACAATTTAATCACAAAATACTGAACGACTGTCTTTTAAATGAAGAAAACATGGTGAGATTTGTTGCCCTGACGCCTATGTGAACATCATTTTATGTCAATCTTTCTGGTGAGATTCCCCTCTCTTTATTACAAGATACTCTCTAAATGGATCCGGTGGGCTAGCGACGTGTGACATCTTCCTTCGGCATTTTCTTAATCAGTCGAAATTCGTTATTTCGAACGTTTATAACTCGCGCACCCCGTTGAATTCCAACCATTCCGTTTCTATCATAAGATGTACGTGTTTCTGTAGATGTGGATGTCTATCATAAGATGTACGTGTAAAACCTCACACCATAAATATTGGAACCAATACGTGTTTCTGTAGACATTATATCTGGATGTCTATGATAAGAATGTGTTTCTGTAGAGGTGGATCTCAAAAAACACATTATCCACTAAAATAATTAGTTCTCAGTCATCATTAAAATGTCATTAATACATTTTACGTATTTTTGTTACAGTGAAAGTCTATCATAAGATGTACGTGTTTCTGTAGAGGTGGATGTCTATCATAAGATGTACGTGTTTTTTGTAGAGGAGGATGTCTATCATAAGATGTACGTGTTTTTTGTAGAGGTGGATGTCTATCATAAGATGTACGTGTTTCTGTAGAGGTGGTGTCTATCATAAGATGTACGTGTTTCTGTAGAGGTGGGTGTCTATCATAAGATGTACGTGTTTCTGTAGAGGTGTGTGTCTATCATAAGATGTACGTGTTTCTGTAGAGGTGTGTGTCTATCATAAGATGTACGTGTTTCTGTAGATGTGGGTGTCTATCATAAGATGTACGTGTTTCTGTAGAGGTGGATGTCTATCATAAGATGTACGTGTTTCTGTAGAGGTGGATGTCTATCATAAGATGTACGTGTTTCTGTAGAGGTGGATGTCTATCATAAGATGTACGTGTTTTTTGTAGAAGTGGATATCCGGAAATACATGTTTCTAGTAGTAAAAGAGAAATCAATATGGAAAAACCACGGAAACAGCCTTAAACGCATTTGTATCAATTGAGGGCCATTGAACCATATATGTTTTCGTGTTTTAAATTTCTTTTTTCTTGCTTTGGTAAAATTATCATTAAAGTCACATTATAACCAAGAGCTTTGCTCTACATATACGATTCGTGGAAACGAGATGTTTATAGGACACATAACAGCTGTGAAAGAGTATTTGTGTGACGAACACTAAAGGCAATATGTCCCTGCTTGTAACTTAATTTACATGAAACAAAACACTGTAGTACATTACTCGTACAGCCATTTCCCCTCGGCCAGTGATACCAAACACAGACACTCTAGCGGTCCTGTGGGTCGGTCTCCAGAGACCCTATCTGATCTTATAATTATGTAATATGAACGTAGAGTTGTTCATCACACCAATGTGATTTATGGGAAAATCCTTTATTTCTATTTAGTATTCTACATCCTAAATAACTCAATTGGATAAAGGGAGATAATTTCATTTATACTTCTAGAGCGCTGATCCACACCAGATATACGGTACTTTAAGTATCCAGTGACATGGTTACTTTAACTACAGAAATTCAATTCCAGTTATCTATTCCTAATCGCTCTATAAACATTATGTAACAAAACCCTACAATACTACACGCTAAAGTGCCGTATGTTTTCCTGAAAAGCTCTGTCATTTATAACGCCGTAAATACCACATTATAAATTTGATACATTCAGAAGATTGAAAATCTTGGAGGAATATATGTGCATTGGAAATTGTGTGATCGGATAATTATTGATTTTAGAGAAGAAGGAAATTGGAATAGTTGATGTGAGAGAGGCATAATTATCTGCCAAACATATTTGTCGCTCAGGCTGTAAATGACTCAGATCTACTCCCATTTTATCAAAAATTTAATGAATCTTGAACAACTAAATCAATCGTTTTTAAAAAGATGTACAGAAATGATTAGATATGATATTTTTTTCTTTTATGTAATTGCAAGATAACATTCAAATGACGATACGTCACTACATCGTTATAGCTAATACAACAAACGTGTCAGACCCGCGTTTAGTAGTGGCAAATAACGATACGTCACTACATCGTTATAGCTGATAAAACAAACGTGCCAACCTCGCGTTTAGTAGTGACAAATGACGATACGTCACTACATCGTTATAGCTGATAAAACAAACGTGCCAACCTCGCGTTTAGTAGTGACAAATGACGATACGTCACTACATCGTTATAGCTGATGTAACGCACGTATCAGCCCCGTGTTTAGTAGTGACACATGACGATACGTCACTACATCGTTATAGTTGATACAACAAACGCGTTAGTCCCGTGTTTAGTAGTGACAAATAACGATACGTCACTACATCGTTATAGCTGATACAACAAACGTGCCAACCTCGCGTTTAGTAGTGACAAATGACGATACGTCACTACATCGTTATAGCTGATGTAACGCACGTGTCAGTCCCGCGTTTAGTAGTGACAAATGACGATACGTTACTACATCGTTATAGCTGATGTAACGCACGTGTCAGTCCCGCGTTTAGTAGTGACAAATGACGATACGTCACTTCATCGTTATAGCTGATGTAACGCACGTGTCAGCCCCGCGTTTAGTAGTGACAAATGACGATACGTCACTACATCGTTATAGTTGATGTAACGCACGTGTCAGTCCCGCGTTTAGTAGTGACATATGACGATACGTCACTACATCGTTATAGCTGATGTAACGCACGTGTCTGTCCCGCGTTTAGTAGTGACACATGGTCCATTTGTGTGTATTTTGTTTTTACAATAGAGAGGTATACACTTAATTATATAAAATTGGATGATATTGATGGATAAGTTATGATAAACTATTGATATACCGTATTTAAGAAATAAACTATCACGTCTTATTAATTTCTACAATAACCAATAGCAAGCTTGTTGTATAAGTAGACTCTACATCTGATACAAGACCTTCAGCTGTTGAAATATTTAGGTTGATCTCATGTTAGTTTGATGTTTTAGTTGTCAATTTGTGAAGCTCGAAAGACAACATTGAAGTTTTA